AGGTTTATATTTTTTGTCTTAAGTACAATCTCTTGACTGTATTATTTATATTATTCTTTTAAAAGTTCATTATCATTTGAGACAGTCATCTAAAGAATTTTTTGAAAGACTTTTTTTATTGCAATAGTTTTGGCCACAGTTTGGAGATGTAGCTTAGTGGGAGCCTCCTGATAGACCCATGAAACCCTTGGATTCAATCACCAGCACTGCAAAAACAAAGTGTAGTTCTGAGACAAACACAAAAGTTCTGGCATACAATCACTAAGTGTTAACCTATTTTACTGTGTCATGGTTAACATTCATTATCTGAACACCGTGTTGTGCAGAATTGTATGTACTTAGAAACAGGAAAACAGAAGATATATTTTGAAACCCAGTGCCATTCAAATTGGAATCAATTTATAATCATGCCAATGTATTTTGAGGACCTCAACTTACTCTTCCGTACAGAGAGAAAGGAAATAAATCTTTGTTTTGGTAATAAATATTTGCCATGGTCTGTGTATATTTTCTTGTATTTTGCATTTCCATTCCTTTTCTTTGATTTTACTTTTCCATTTAGTGAACACCTCAGTTGTGTTACATATGTTACCAGAGATATTTTCTGTACTCAAATATTCCAGACCTTGCAAATCCTTTGCACCTCCCATGTCTCCTCTTTTCTCCCCACTTTTGATATGAAGATCACATTGAAGTGTACTCATGGTATGGTTGTTTCGAAAGAGTCTTTCAAACATGAACATTTGATGGCAAAAATTACACATCACCTCCTCTAGATCCTTCCTTACCTGTGATCATTTTTATTCTTAGCCTTCCTTTCACTTGTGGTGATAGTTCATGAAATCTTCCATCATGGCAAACATTTACACAAGAAAGCGTTTCTAATCATCTACCATTCAATATTCTCAGAAATTGTGTTGTGTATGTTTCTTATCTTCAGTCAGCACCTCTGGCTTTCTCTACCCACCTTCCCCTGAAAATCTGTGTTCGCTACTCTTTTGTGTTAGATCTTCGTGTATTTTAACTCTATCTGTGGTAACACAGCATTTTTAAAGAACTGCTTTGTCAGATTTATTTTGTTTATTTTATTTTCTTTCAATCATACTGTGTTTGTTGCAAGGTTGCCTCATACTCTAAGGCTGGGTACTAATCAATTATAAAAAGGAAATGAAAATTTTTATCTTTTCTATAGTGACCACCTAGATTGCTTCCCTGTATTTGTTATGGTGAATTATATTTTAATGAAATAACAATAAATATATGTCTGTGAGACCCAAATTTTTATTCCTTTAGGTACATACCTAGAGCCTGGATTGCCACATCAAATGACAGGAACTTTTTCTTTTAATTTTAATGACAAAATTCTATAGTATTCCATAACAGAAACACTAATTTTCCCCAAAACAAGTGCTATCTGTTTCAGTCTGCTGGTTTCTCTGTGGTTTTTTGCTGAAAATTCGTAGTTTGGGAAATGCCACTTTGATTCTGTGTGTGACTGGCTAATAGAGAAGCAAAAATATTCACAAAGACTATAGATTCTGTTATGTAGTATATTCTGTAAAGTCCCCAGCATTACTGGGGAGTCCCTGTGATGTGGTTACTGCCTTTTCTGTGTTTTGTGTGCTGTTCATGGCCTGGACCGATGATGTCATAGTCATTAATCTTTACTAACATGAGTGTTTCACACATCCATGGGGACAATCTGTCACCCAAATCTGCTCCTGACTCCTGGTTCAGTAAAACTCACCTTCTCTCCCAACTTGAGCTCAATCTGCATCTTTTCTATTTTACTATGGTGGAAGAACCAAAAATTTCTTATACCTGTTTCAATTGGACACCATACATGAATTCTATTTTAAGGCTCTACCTCTTCTTACTCAAAAGTAAGGACACTGGATCTCAGGCAGGGAAACCACGAGAGAGATGGTCAGAAACCAAAATACCCAGTAAATTATTTCCTATATCTTAGCAAGACCAACAGTTCATTAGTTTACATGTTAAAAGAGATTAATAAACTTCTATTCACCATCCCATTTCAATTTGCATTGTGTACAAAATTGATCCTTTATGATATGAAACTACCACTCACAGTACACATGTCTGTATTCTACAAAAGCAAATTACATGTACTGGTCTTGATGATCTCATGCCAGTCTATTTCCCCACTCTCAGAGAAAACATTAGAAACTATTACTCCATGAAAAAAACAATTTTGAGTAATTCAATTCATTCACCTGTATCAGAACATTTTCCATGTCTTGGCAAATAAATCTGGATTGGACTCTGACTCATGGTTAAAATGTTAATTTTACTCTGTTTACTAATGTTCACAGAAGTGGCTGTGTAACCTCCGTGGAGGAGATTAAATACAAGGCCCCCATTCACAGAGCTTAGTTTGGGAAAGTGAAGTTGGAAAACCAGAGAAAACTGCTCTCAGAGGGGGCGGATGTCTGTGTCTAAATTTATAATTGGAAAATCAATATTTAATTGCACTCTTTCACATAAAATTGAATGGAGTTTATGTACTTCATGAATACATCTCACAGCCCCGAGTTTAGAAGAATAAAACTGGGAATTCCATCCTTTACAAAAAGAATAATTTAATGATTTTATGTAGTTCTTACCTCTTTCTTTCCAAACTGATAATGATACATCAATCTAGAATGGTGCTAGGTCGAGAAATTTAGTAGAAAAAAAATTTTTGTCCAAAATTTATTATAATTTCAACTTTTTGGGCAGGGGAATCCATACTAAGTAAAAGTGAGACTTAAGATCTGCACATTGAAAATGATCCTTAAATATTGTAAAGATTTGGCCAGGGAATGATTCTTAGGAAACAATTTTCTGGAATCTTCCATTGTATATTCTCCTTTCTGTGGAGAACAGAGCTGGGTCTGAAATCTGCGTCCTTCCTATGAACTCTCCAGCAAGACATGAGACTTTTTATATAAACACTAATTTTTGACTTTAAGTTAATCTGTTTGTACTTGTTGAACAAAGAACCAAGCACCAGAATATGATGAGAGCAGAGCCAAGACCCAGACAGCCAAGTAGGCAGAGATATATACAAGAGGAATCAGGGGTGAGGCTTAGGTCAAGGAGTGAGCCAGAACTGAAATATGGTATACAAAGCTCTGTTCCTATGAAAATTATTCATGAGAAGTGTAGGTTTATTTCTCTTGCTCTCAAAGAGGGAAATGGACTTCCCTGTATCCCTTGCAAACCTCTGATTTCAAAGTTTCCTGCACAAACAGTATCATGAAATTCTCCAACATCACTTCAGTACTTACCACATGAGCTTGTTCACAGGGCATTTTATGACAGATTATATTTCAGACTTATAACATTTTCCTGGCACACAGTGCATTGTAAATTGTGTTCTTCTTGGGCACAGAATCAAAGTTCAAAATTATGGTTATCAGGAAGGATCAATTTCAACAAAACGTATGTTTATAAGATGTTGTAGATTACTCTCACTCTTGATTTGGGATTCCATATTTGTGAGATGAATTTATTAAGTAAATTTTCCTCAAATTAATAAATCTTGAACTTGGATTTTAACCTACACACATTATTATTTGTGGTATTTCAACAGTGTGCAATTTACAACAATCTTGCATGAAAACCAAGTAGGAACAATGTATGTGTATATTACTAATAAAATTTCATGTTTGGTTTTCTATAGAAGTGTTACTACCATCTTGTTCGTGGATTCCTCATTTTCTTCTATTTGTTGATGTAGTAATCTATCTAGGCTACTACTCTGACCAGCATAAAATATATATTCTGTGTCCTTTATGTAATTGTTCACTTTGCAACCTCTGATACAACACCACGAATATAGATGTTATAGTAAATGCTCTTCCCTCCAAACAAAAAGGAAATCAAAGCAAAGCACAGAGATCAGGAGGCTGATGGATGATGGAAATATTCATGACATTAATGCTGCTGCTCTTGAGAAGGCCGGTTAGTAACAAGTGTTTGGCAGCATCCATGGATCAGGTCCATAGCTCAGAGGAGGAAGGAGAGAACAGATAATCCACAAGGTCAGAAATTCTGTGGTCCTGAAGAGTCTAAATAAGACAACAATCCTTAACCATCCATTCATAAAGTAATAGTTACAGCAGATTTCATTTTCCAGAAGAGTGAAGACAAAGGGCATATCCTCACTGAACAGAAAGTGATTACTGCCTCTGTCAAAAGTTATTGCATTTTTTCCATGTGCATTAAGAAGTGATCCGAGACAGTTTCACATTTACTTAAAATTGCATGAATGCACACTGCTTTCCAAGAACATTAAAAACTGGAGACTATATATATATATATCAAGTCACAAAATTTAAATGTTAATGATTGTTGACAAATATAAAATAGGACAAGAAATTTTAAATTAAGATTTCCATTGAAGTAGTTGTGATATTGATGACACAAAAATGTAAAAAAAAAATATGATATGATGGGTGATTGAAAGTATACCAATACACAAAGTGAAAGGAAAAATGAAAGCATTTTGAGATAAAGCAGAGTTAAGCTGTTGCAAGAAATGATACATACATCAAATGATCTGAGTAAAAATAGAACAAAATGCATTATACTGGTGAAGATAGCATTGAAATATGTTTTAGATAGAAATAATGAATCAGACAGAAATATCTCAATATACAAAATATAATTGTATGTAATTTAATTCTTTTTTTGTCTTTTTCATTTTTATCGGTACCAGGGATCGAACTCATGACTGCCTGCTTGCAAGGCAGGCGCTTATGCCACTGAGCTAAATCCCCAGCCCCCAATTTAATTTAATTCTAAAACAAGTTCCATTTAATATTACTATCCATGAATATTAATTATATCCATATAGCTCTACTTGTCTTATCTACATTTCTCTCTGCAGTAACATGGGCTCATAACCATCCTTTAAGTTTGTTTAACAGACTTGCACCCATAACTCAGTGTATGGAAAGCAGACAACATACAAAATGATAGTTTGATAAATCTGATCACTTCTTCGAGATGAGCCTGGTTAAGCTGCATTCCCGACTCAAGAGAATGATGGGGCTGATGGTGGGGAAACCAGCACTGATTAGGACAGTGGCATTCAACAGCCACAAAGCAGTTTTATCATTAAGAGCTAAGCAAGCGTGAAGGGTAGATGACACAGTGTAGAAGAACACGAAGGCACTAACCAAAGCAAGGATGCTTTGAGAAGCTCTGGTTTCAGCGGAAGATCTACCTGAGCTGTGTCTGTGGATATGGTGGACCTGCTGCTTGTGCCTTTGCAGAATGAAAACCATGAAACCACTGGCCCCGATCATGAGCTGTAAACACAAAATGTCATGGGATAATGTCACTGCGGCAAAAACCATGCCTGAGTCATTGTCAGGAATTATCGCTGAACAATGCTGGAAATCTATAGTTCTGGAGAAGTTTTTCTTGTTCCCTTTATCAATGATACGCTCAAGAGTTCTACTAGCTAGCAGCAAGTGCAGGACCCAGCAGAGGATGATAAAAGGGTGCATGTATTTTATGGCTTTCAGTTTCAGTTGTGAACAGATGTAGTCCCTGGGGCTGATGGTGATGGCTTGGAACACACTCAAGAGGCAGGTGGAGGTGATAGACACACCCCTGCCTACCCTGTGAAGATAGAAAAGACACTTACATCCTAGATCATCAAGGAAATGTTTCTTTTCAAAAGCTGCCTTGGACTCTGGGATCCCTCTGGAGAGAATATCTAAGGAGTTGGCCACAATCAGATGTCTGAGAAACAAATCTGTTGACCTTGGCCTGTATCCATTGAAGTATAGGAAGATATAATAACACAAGAGTGAAAAATTGCCGATAGTTCCAATGACAATCTGTATAAGAAATATCCCAAATTTCAAATCCATGAAAGCCAATTTCTTATTGTCCAAGAGTTAACATAAAGGTGCAAAACACAGGATTCTGTAAGGAAAGACAAATTTTAAGTACAGAAAATTACAGGCATTAAATTTTAAATGTTTTACTTATCAGTAGCATTCCTTGTGTATTTATTTCTCATGTGTATTTTTTATTAAGTGTTTCTGTTTGCAACATTTGGTCCATGTAACTAACCTCTTACCTTTTCAAACTCACTTAGTAAAACATGATTAATTAGGACATTTTCATTTAAACAGATATGCTAGCAAAACAGAGATCATGTCACCCGTGGTATTGCCCACAAAAACCAGATGTGGAACTGACAGGGTGATAATAATACACTTACTTCTGTGTGGAAGTATCAGATAGTCATTTTGGGACCATTTGATATTCCAAATATGTGTTTAAATTTTATATTTGATGTCTGATTAATGAATTAGTCTGATGGTGACAGCTTGCATTTTTGTGAAAACATATCTTTTATAAAACAATTAAAAATAATAATTCCAAATATTGATCAACAAGTAATTGCTTTTGATAAAATTAAATTTAGTACAAACAAAGCAACATTCAGATTCAAATGGTGAATATGCTATTTCTGTAATGCCTGCTACAAATATGAATGAGAAGGGGCAATTAATGCAAATATAAAATGAACAACATGAGACTTAAGCTGAAGGAAGGTATACGAATTTCAGTGAGTAATCTGATATGACAGGAATTAATCTCAAAGAGATAATATGTAGCCATGTGTTTTCTATTGGGAAAAATAACAGTAATAACAAATTTCTGTGAAATATTCTACATCTAAATTGTAGAAAGGGTCACTGGAATATGAAGTTTACATTCAATTTTACAGCCTGACACGATACCACAGGACTCACTTTATTCTAGAACAGTGTTATCGCCTTTCTTTTCCTGCAGTTGAAATTCATTCATTATTGTGTTAACTATTCAAAGAAGTCTCCTTCTGATCATCATAAAGTTCAATTTTCAAGCTTGAATACACTATAGATTTTTCAGAGATATCTAATTTTCATCTGAAATACATCAAAGAAAAACATAGAGAACAAGTTTACCTCTGAACTCTCTCACAGAGAAATGTGTGGCTTTTCTTCTACTAGTGTATTTCCAATGCGAGATGTGGAGACGGAAGCAGCCCTAACACTACATGAGCAGCTGGAGAGCAGAGACTCAAGTTAGTAGGACTCCACACCCATAGAGCAAAGTTGAGAATTTAACCATGGATTCTGGTTGTGAAAACAAATCATTTTGATTGTGGCACAGTTCCAAATAAAACGAGTTGTTCTCACTGAATAATTCTGTTAAAATACAGTTTTGTTTTTAGTTTAGATCAGTGATATTGCGTGTAAAATTCCTTTTCTAATGGGTTTCAATTTTGTCAAGTGGTTTACTGTCCAACCAGTGATTCAGCGACCCCAGTACTGTGCAGGTGTGTGGAGTGCTGTGTAATACACAGGACCTGTGCTCTGTCCAGGTCTGTTCAATGGTATATGTGGTTTACAGTATTAAAATGACACCAGGTAGATTTGCTATTTTTTATGCTAGAAACAACAGTACAGTATTCATTATGGGAAAAATCACTTAACAAAATACCATTTATATGTGTTAAGACTCGTTAAAGTGAAGAGAAATTTACTCTAATATTGAAAATTGCATTGCAAGTATTAATCATCAACTTCATACATGCTTCAATGTAGCTGTTCAAAAACGTTTTGTCTGAGTACTAAAGTAAACCATCAATTCACCCACCCTGTATTCATGAATAAATATTTAAAGGTTATTTAAGGTTTCTTAAATGAATTCTTGCTTTAAAAAAGTGGAAGTATACCCCAGAAAAATAAAAAGCAATATTTGTAACTAGCAAAGTACAACTGTAAAAGTTTTATGAGCATGCATTTTGATGGTAAATGGAAGACTTGGATTCCACACCAGTTAATAGATGTTTAAGAACGCAGGACCAAGTTTTCAAATGATCAACTAAAAATGTAGATGCTTTGTTATTTGGCCAGTTAAGGTCAACTGTGAATACATTTTGTATTGAAAAGCCATTTTCTTTCAGTTCATCCCACTCCCAGCCAAAAGCAGGAGTAAAAGTCACATACACACAGAGGAGCTCTCTTTCTCAGCTGCTCAGCTGAGTCTGTGCTGAATGTTTCCCCAGAAACAAACAGTATTATAACACTGTTGCAGTGCTCCTTAGAGATGAGTAATTTCAAGGAATTGTCATTAAATTTCCAGGTTCTTGAAAAAGAAAAAAATATTACTGAACAATCTAATTATATTTCCTAAGCTATTGTTTATGAAAAAATATAGAATCAATGGAGAGAAAATAAATCAGTATTAATTTTAACTCATTATGAATGCATTAACACAAATTAAATGAAAATATTAGCAGCAAGCTGAGATTATGATGTGTTCATTTAAAGAAACACATGCATAACTGAAATGAAAAGCTGTGTAAGTGCATATTAGTGTGTATCTTACACAATCAAGTTTATATGACCAAATGACAAGTTTTGTTAAAGCTCACCAACCCCTCTCAGTAGGGATGATGTGGTTTAATTTGGAATTATTTATGAGCCAAGTAGAATGTATTAGATACACATCTCTCCTTATGGGCTCCATTCATGTTACAGAAATCATTGAATCTTCTATGTCACTTTACACTGAATCAGGAATAAACTCAAAGAACTATATTTTGCAATATGATCGTAAATCAAGATTTCTGAAACATCTGTTTTTCTCATACCATTTGCTTCAACATCAGGGAAACACTCACCTCGCCACAACCTGCAGCTACAGCCATGCGCAGCCATGATACAAATATGTATTTCTGATCTGCAATAAAAAGATCTGTCATTCTGTGACCTCACTCCGCTAACACAAAACTCTGATTATAATTTCACCTCTAAGTGTCAGTGACCACAGAGACTTGGACAATTGAGAACATTTCTGGAAAACTTTTTCCACTTTTTAATTACTAAAAAACCATTTGAGTTTGTCATCAGCATCTCCCAAGAGACCTCTGAAGTGTCTGTCAAACTTGCCTACACTGGCTGACTCTAGAGCAGACAGGGTCTCAGATGGAGGCCAGAAGGAAACTGAGGTCTGACACTCCTGGGACAGTGGTGAGGTAACTCTGTGCCTTACGTGTGCTCCTCCCTAGGGGGTTCCTTCCTGCACAGCAGAATGCTTTTCTGGTCTCCTTACATGTAAGCACCACCACCTAAAGAAAAGTTACAAGCGGGGAAAGATAAATAACAAAGGAAAATCTTTCAAACTGATAAAGTAAGAGGAATCATGTGAATCCAGTGTTCTACAGATGATTTCTTTGCAAATCTAGAAAATAAAACAATGTTGAAGGAACACATACTTTCTTGATTTTATACATCACTAGATACAAGATGTGTAAATACAAAAATGAACCTTTGTTTTGGAGGTAAGAGAGGTGCAATAATGAAAGCAAAAAGACCCAACAGCTTTATTCAGTCTTTCAGAAAGGAGGCCATAGTCCTTGCTCAGCTTAGGAGTCCCACTCGCCACTTGCCAGTCATGGACACTTATGCTTTGCTGAGTAATTTCTAACTTACACTGGTTTCTTCAATATCAGTTAATAAATATAACCCAGAGGATGATGCAAATTTTTTATTTCACTACAAATAATTCCTAATTCATTTACCTCTGTTACTCAAACACTCAATGCACAAATCAAATTTTTGAAAACTTACATTCAACAGACACCACTTTTGCACAGAGTCACATCCACATACATGGTGTCACACACACACACACACACACACACAATAGATGCAAAGACATACATATGCATACACACTCATACATGTGTACAACCATATGTAGTTATATTCTATCACCTATACCTTGCACCAAAAGTATTCTCACATATACCTTGCACCAAAAATGAATCTCTAACCATGGACTTGTTATATAAAAATGCACACCTACAGTCACACAGGCTCACACTGCCTCTAGTTGTTAACAAATTCATCATTTTACTCTAAATAACTGAAATTCAGAACCTTTTGTATGTTTGTGCAGGCCTATAATTTTTATAGTATAGGAGACTGAGATGTGAAAATTGTAAGTTAGACTATCCCATGCAACATATTGATTGTAGTAGACTCTTTCAATATTTTATAAAAACTAAAAAACCTGTGGATGTAGCTCAGTACAAATACCCAGAGTTCAATCACAAGCAGCACAATAAATACATACATAGTAAAAATCAGAGATTTTGACATTTTTGAGTCTCCTCAATTACTGATATGAATAATTAAATGTACACACACTCAGCATCAGCATGTGTGTCTTAACATGCTATATATACGTGAAAGAATAGTGATATTTACATTCCTCTAAATACTTCAAAAACTCATTAGAATATTACAATGCCTGTTTTGTGAAAAGGAATGCAAACACTGTTATTTGAGACTTAGAAATTCAGTAAAAATACTGTAGAACTGATACAGTGACAGGTAATAGATCTCTGGCAAAGTAGGGTAAAGTGAGAAAGAGAAAAGTTTGACATTGTTAAGAAGGAGGTGCAGTGACCTGGAAATGCATTAGAGTGAATCAGGAGACAGAAAACAGAGTTTTAAACTTTATGAGGAGGTTCATGTTGCAGTGGAGTTCAAGTGGTCGGGGAGTTTTTGGGAAATGGTAATGCTAGCTCTAAGGAAGCTATAGATGCAGCATACACTGGATTCCACGAGGACTATGGTTTCAGGAAGTCATGAGAAAAAAGTAATCTTTGGAATGACGAGGTAGGGTTCACACATGGATCAAGGCAACAGCGCATGAAAAACAGGCGATTTACTATGCAGGAAGAGCTAAACATATGAAGAGTTAAAGGGAGATAAATGGTGGAATGCGTGTTGATCCATAGCTGAGACAGAGGTAAGAAGAGCTGGGGCTGGACTAGGGGTTGGAGAAACCATGAGACCAG